GTATTCCCTCAGCGACCAGCACAGATCAGCTCTAGGCATGACGAAGCGGGTATCGTCCTCTTTTGGAAGACCAAACAAAGTAGTTTTGCTTTCACAACGAAAAACACAGCGGCCTAGCGTGAGGGGAAGCCCCGGCTTAGCGTGCGCTGAGGCCGGTATAGAGTGAGCTGAGGCGGGCTGGACTCCGCTTTGTCCATGGTGAAAGCCGATCCGGCGATCCACAGCGCGAAGTTGATGTATTTCCTCAGCTACCAGCACGGATCAGCTCTAGGCATGATGAAGCGGATATCGTCCTCTTTTGGAAGGCCAAACAAAGTACTTTTTCTTTCGCAGCAAACCACACAGTGTCTCCATGACATGGCGGCGTTTTATATGGTTTAATACTACAGCGAGAATAAAAGTTACTCCTTCTTTCTTTGTGTGAACATTTGGGCGGTGTTATGCAAATCTTCCCACATAGTGTGGTAGATATGTGGGGGCGTGTTCGAACGAGCCGTTTTAGGTAGGTGTGGCTGACTCTTAACTTTGATAAAGAATATCTCTTTGGATTTGAGACTTTAGTCTTTACAACTTTACAGATCTTCTTTATGCACCAAGAGCTTGTAACACTCCAAAGAGAAAGGAAAAAATGAAATCGCATCATATGACCCCTTTAAAAAATGCTAAAAAAGTGGGCGTTGCGCAGCGGAGCGGAGGAGGGGAGACAGACAACACACACAGCTTCAGGTTCAGACGGTTTCATTTTACTCCCATCGAGTTAAAAACACAAATAAACACAAAGCAAAAACAAACACTCTTCTTCGATCCATGAACGTTTCTCTCAGTTATTGTGCGCGATGTCATCTCACAGACTCTGAAGCGTCTGTAATAGCAAATCAACACATGCTGTTGTGAATAATTAAGCGAAGCGTCTTCTCATTGGATAAGAACACACAGTCTCATGAATAATTAAATAGACATGAGGTGTCATCGATGTACTATAGTCCATTGCCACGTCACAAATCGTGACATCAAAACAATGTAGATTTTAAACCCGGAAGATGAAAATAGCGCAAAAAAGCTTAAAATTAACCAGTTTTCTCCAACAGTTAAAATTATCGGATGCTAACATTGTCTTCTATGATGTGCAACACAAACACCTCTGCTAAAATCTCAGAAAAAGTAGTCTGGGGTTTCATGACCCTTTAAGCGGCAGTCAATATAACATCAGTGCACACTTATAATAAGAACGTTATTTTACATTGGTGTGGATGCTAATTTAGGACGTAGATAGAAAACGCAAGGGTTTGCGACACTGATTCTCTGTCATGTGACCAAAAGAGAAAACTTTGCCTTTGTTAACTTGCATTGCAGCCATCTGTTGAGCAGCCAGTTGTACATTTGGAAATTTACTGTATTCTTGCTTGATTTTAATTGGACTCGGATCCTTCCACACTTTCCAAGGCATCTTGGCTGGAATACACTACATGACTTTTGCCCCGATTTACAGTCTGGAGAAGTTGACACATAACAAGGCACACGTCTCGGTATGAGTTTGTTGTGATCGGAACAACTTTAAAGTCTGGTGGTGTGCGAGATCCTCTGTCGTGATGTCTAGCGTTTCAAAATCTGTTCAGATTTTAAAAGTCGTGTAGTGTATTCCAGCCTTTGCTCTGCTCCGTCAGAGCTTTCTCTAGCGTTTCAGACTGTCAGCAGCTAAAAACCCTTAAATTAGCGTCATTACAGCCATCAAAGCCGTAACAAACTCACCACCTTCAACAATACATTCCTGGACATTTACTGTCGCACCTGCTGTAACAAATGTTCTGTTTTTTCACATGGAACAGGGTCAGTGCTGCTACCAGACTCGCTAAACTAGACGTTTGAGGTCTGGGGGTCAGGTCAAAACATTTATTTTTACACCGTCGGGGTGCTGGAAAAAAATCTGGAACAGCTGACGTTTGCATAAACTCTTCTTTTCAGCATCATTCCTCCAGTCTTCAGTGTCACATGATCCTTCAGAAATCATTGTTATATGACGATTTGCTGCTCAAGAAACTTTTTTTTTTAAATTATTATTATTATTATTTATTATTATCATCAATGTTGAAAACAGCTGAGCTGCTTCATATTTTTATGGAAACTGTGATACATTTTTTTTTCAGAATGTTGATTTTATGATCAACAGAAAGTTCAAAAGAACAGCATTTATTTGAACTAGATTTTTTCGTAACATTATAAATGTCTTTCCTGTCACTTTTACTGTCAGCATCTTTGCTGAATAAAAATATTAATATTTAAAAAATTCAAATAAAAATAAACAAACAACAAACAAGCAAATAAAACGCACTGACCGTAAACTTTTAAACGGTAGTTAATTATTCATATATTATTTGCAAGTAAAATATGTTTTATTTATTTTTTTAATTATACTAATATTTAAATATTTTCAAATAATTAAAATCTTTCTATATGTATTTAGTGCACTTCACATTAATCCAGCCAACCTGAATATTGTATTATACACAGTAAAGTAATATTTATTGATGTTATTAAGGTGATCTAACCTATGATGTCCAAGAATATTTCTGAAAAATATGCAAATATTAAAATAAAGAAAAAAAACTAGACATAAAATTTGCATGTTTAATTCAAATGATTTTGGATTACATCATTTTTTTAAACAAATCTAAACATATAACAGTAATTGCAGTTAATATAATAAACATAATTAGGCGATTATAAAATGATCAAATCACACCTATCAGGCATAAAAGTCATGGTTTACCTTTGCATTTTTAATAAACAATAAACTTCAAGATTTTAACAGGGAATCTTGCTTTACTCAAATTAAAAAAAAAAAATCCTTAATCAAGCTGCAGCAAAATAATGGCAGATCATAACCGAGCGATCTAGTGAGTGTAGTTTGTAGTAAGGGAACTCATTAGGGTTTGGAACAGAACTACTGGACAGAAAGGCTATTTATTTTAAATATTGTGTCTGTCATCAATGTCACGCAGCCAACTCACCTTCAGTCCTTCACTGGGCAGCCTGTAGCCAAATCGAGCTGGCAAATCATCAAAGTTCTCCGTCTTATTGTCGAATGAATACTGAAAAACAAACGCAACCATGAATTACTGTCTGCCAACCATGTGTTTAAATGCATCTGCGTTTACTGTTGTGTCAGAAGCTTACAGCGGATATGTCGGCCTCCACGGGCAGGAGGTTGAGGAAGGCAAATATCTGAACCGTGAAAATGGTGTAAATCTGTGTGGCAGAGAGCATCAGCATCCCCAAAGAGAGCAGCATCTTCAGACCTGCTTCAATTACACCTGCAAAGGCAAGGAAATGATTCATTAGACATTAGCAGGAAGTCCCCGAAAAAACACTTCCTGTTTCTGTAATGATAATGATGCAGACACAAGGCTACCGGGACTATGATAACCAGCCAAACCTTCTCCCTCGTCAATTTCTTGCTCAACAATGGTGTTTAAAGGGTACATTGACACAACAACAAAGTACTAAAACCAGAAATGTTTTTCCTTTGCATTTCTGAAAAGTTTGCTGCATTCTTCATGCCAGGCCAGTAGATGGCGATGTCACTTTGTAAAGGAATAATATGTGACCACAAAACCAGTCATAAGGGTCAATTTTTTGAAATTGAAATTTATACACCATCTCAAAGCTGAATAAATAAGCTTTCCATTGATGTATGTTTGTTAGGATAGGACAATATTTGGCCCAGAAGAGAACTCAAGGAGCGGAGGCCTGCGATCGGACGCTGAGGTTGCTTTGTTTCTTCTCAATAGGTGAGTAACACCGTGTCTACAACAGCTAAAGTCTGCCTACACTGGACGCGATCAAACGACCGTTGAAAACCATTTGAAATGTGTGTCAGCACGTCATAAATAGAACCCGGCAGCAGTTTTCTGTCGGGGATTTGTTGCGCCGCGCCGCTCACGTCCGTAGACACGGTGTAACATTGGTTTTGCTTTGTTTCACAGAACTAATCGTTGCCTGGGTTGCGTACGTATGTGTGGGGCGGAGCTATCAAAATAGGGGCAAGACCCTTTTGGGGTAGGGGCGTGTTTGTTTTGGTGATTTCAAATATCAACATTAGCTACCAGAAATCACTTACTCTGCCTTTAATATCCTAATGATTTTTGGCATAAAAGAAAAATCGATAATTTTGACCCATACAATGTATTTTTGGCTATTGCTACAAATATACCCCAGCGACTTAAGACTGCTTTTGTGCTCCAGGGACACAAATATGTATGCGCATGACGTCGCCATTTTCACAAATTCATGTTTTTGTAGTTAACACGGAGACAATAACAGTATCGTTTACAAAAACTTACACGATTTTCAAAAGTTTGTGTTTTCAGGCCCCCAAAATGCCACTGTGTAAATAAATGGCTTTTTGTTTTTAGTTAAAATCGGTGTCGTGTAAACGCTACCTAAGGCTGAACTACAAGGAACTACCAACAAACAAAAAAATCATTATTTTCGCAACACTTTTGTTGTCGCCAGTCTCTCGTAAACACTGATAAACCACGCCCATATTTCAATAAACCACGCCCACACCTTCGTAACCCACGCACACTATTTCGACATTTATCGCTGAATAAAAGTAGTAGGCCTAATGGTAGCAATTTCCACTTTACTAAACTCAGTTAAAATTAATGAATATTTCTTAAATTATATAATTAAAAAAATATTTTATTTAAATGTTCTATCTAATCTAATTCACTCACGTGATGTAAAAACTTCCTTTTTATTCTCCTATAAAACAGCGGGCTGCAAGAAATAAATGCTCCAGCGCCTGAAATGATTACATACGCATACAATTCAATTCTGTTTAACTGGGATCTGCTTTATAGTCACTCAAAGCGTCCTGAATCACATTGGTTCTGGTTGAATTAGCACGCTGGCTAACAGTAAACAACACAGACCGGATGGACTTCAGCGTTACTCGGACGATCTACAGCACGGCACCAAAGTCTGCTTATCACAAAAATAAAACATATCGATATTCACACTGACGCGCAAAAGGGGAAAACGACCGAAGAGAGCAGTAAACTATCATCCAAACGACGTGACTGGAGCTCAATCAGCAGAAAGAGGGGAAATCAACACTGCAGGACGCATCAGCGACTTACCATTACATTAGATGGCGGTCTTTAGTCCAGGGATATAATAAACACCGATGACATTACAGCAGAGTGCAATTATAGGCTTCAGACGGCTTCTTACGACCTCATCACATCTTCAGGCAGGCCAGAATGTCAACACACACACACACACACACACACACAGCGCCCTCTAGCGCACAGAGGCACCACCAACTCAAACTGACCCAAATTGGACGCAAATAACTGTTGACTATGAGAAGGGGGGCACATTTTGTGTAACGTTAGACGTTTGAAATATAGTCTACAAAAAATATCGAGAAAAGTAACGTTATCAGGTGAAACCGCTGCAGCTGCTGTCTGGGTAATTGTTTGCTATATTACACTGAGAACAATGTGACAGCCTTAAATCACACACTGTATCGTTACAACATGAGAATTGTTATTTAAACGTACTAGCTAAGTGCTAAATCCCATTCTAGTTCTTATTCTAGTTCCCGGGTGACCAAACTGCACACAGTGCCCTTTAGCATACATGTGTAGAATCAGCCGATCTGAAGTCGTGCTAGCAGTTCGTTTCCTCTCAGTAGAAATCAAAGAGCCAACAGGGAACGTTCTGACGATGTTTGTCCGTTAATTCTAATAGAACTTTGGTTCAAAGCTAACTGGTCTTTACATTACATTTAGACATTTAGCAGATGCTTTTATCCAAAGCGACTTACAAATGAGGACAATGGAAGCGATCAAAATCAACAAAAGAGCAATAATATGCAAGTGCTATAACAAGTCTCAGCTAGCTTAACGCAGTACACGTAGCAAGGGTTTTTTAAATAATATAATAAATAAAAAGAAAACGGATAGAATAGAAAAAGAATAGAGCAAGCTAGAGTTAGAGGTAATTAATTTTTATTTATTTAAATAGTAATTTAATTTAAGTTTGGGCTCTGCTGTTAATTGTAACCTTAGAGTAACGTAAAAAGGCTCCCACTGGTTTAGAGCACAAGCTAAGGTAGATTTTTATCCCTAAGGAAATTTTCATTGTAATTGAATTTATTTAAAGAAAAAGCTATTTGTTCAGTAAATGCATTGTTTGATAATATATACAGTATATATATATATATATATATATATGTATGTATGTATGTATGTATGTATGTATATGT